ATGCTAAGGAATGGGTTGACCTCTTCGCCGACGCCGGCGCCAAGTACTTTGTCCTCACGACAAAGCACCACGACGGCTTCGCCCTCTTCGATGCTGGAGCGACTTCCAACCGCTCATCAATCCACTACGGTCCCAAACGTGACCTGCTGAAGGAGCTGTTCGACGCTGCGAAGACCTACCAGCCCGAATTGAAGCGGGGTACCTACTTCTCGCTCCCCGAGTGGTTCAACCCAGACTTTGGCCCCTATGGCTTCGTCCAGTTCCCCACGCCATCAGCTGTCTCCTGGCCCGGCGTGCTAGCCTCCAACCCATACACTGGGGAGCTTGAGCCCTACACCGGCCGCGTCCCCGTCAACGACTTCATCACCGACCTTATGGTGCCTCAAATGGAGACCCTTGCCTACGACTACGGCACGGACATCATGTGGTGCGACTGCGGCGCCGCCAACGGCACGCAAGACTTCGCAGCGACGTGGTGGAATAAGGCCCGCGCCGAGGGCCGTCAGGTCGCCATCAACTCCCGCTGCGGCATTCCGGAGGCGGCTGACTTTGACACGCCTGAGTACCAAACCTTTGCGTCCGCGCAACGACGCAAGTGGGAGAGCAACCGCGGCATGGACCCGTACAGCTACGGATACAACCGCGCGACGAAGCCCGAGGAGTACATGAATGCCACTACGATCGTGTACTCTCTCGTCGACATGGTGTCCAAGAACGGCAACTTCTTGTTGGACATTGGTCCCAAGGCAGATGGTACTATCGTTCAGGCTGAGATGGATAACCTGCGTGAGGCGGGCAAGTGGATCAAGGCCCATGAGGAGGCCATCTTCAACACCACGTACTGGTTTGTGCAGAGCGAGATCGTTGGTGGCCCGGATGTTAGGTTTACTCAGACCGAAGAGGCTTTCTACACAGTCTTCTTGGAGGAGCCGACCGTGGTTGACGGCTGGGTCTCTATCCGGGCACCTATCCCCGCCGTTGAAGGAGATATCATCAGTCTACTCAGCGTCAAAGGTGCTGAAGACCTTGAGTGGAAGATCAGCGGATCAGGAGTCAGCACTGAGTTGAAGATCAAGGTGGAGGAGGCTCTTATCGAGGCCGAACAGTTCGGTTGGGTTTTCAAGGTTCTTTACGCAGCATGATTCATGGATGGCAATAGGTCAATGCCAGGCCCCGCACATCGGCAATAAAGATGATTGAAAGCAGGAAAATGCAATTGACACGCCCTCGAGACAAAACATGTAGTATAAGTGGCACGAGCAAAAGTGAATGCGTCGAGGGAGAATCGAACCCCCGGCTCCCCGACGCTGCTGGATGGCAACGGAGAATTTTACCACTAAACCATCGACGCTTGATTTCCTGATAAACCCGCTAACCCAAGACCCTACTGATTCCCTGCGCGGACCCAGGCAAGGGCCGAGGGAGGTAGCCGGGGGTGGGTGACGGCTCGCTTTCGCGCCTGCGGCAGCAGGCCTGGAAAAGGGGATCTATCGTAGCGAGAGACATACCCAAAAGCCATCGTTCTGCGTAAGGAGCGACAGCCGGACACTAAACATGCCGGAAGTCTTGCCCGTTGACATCGAGTGTGGATATCGCGCAGCAAAGAGGTGTTTAGTCGGCCCAGCGGTAACAACAGCGACCTCAGAGCTAAGATTGGAATCGAAAGTTTTCCAAAACTGAGTAGCGTTCAGTGAAACTACTTACTAGGTTCCTCGTAGATAAAGTCGAGAGGACGGAAAATTTGGTTGCAAAGCGATAAATTTTGCTAATTAATTGGTTCAATTGTGTGTTGATATCCAAATTCGAGTCTTATTGATCGAGAGGCTACTCCTCCATAACTTCTGATTATCACGCAACCCGTTCTCCAGTAAGAATGCAATCAAATGGATATGTATCATCGCTGTTATCATCCCATTCGCTATCATCAACATTACAGAGCACCGGCATCTCCTTAGCCAAGATTCTGGCAGACTTCTTCTTCACCTCAGGCGCGCTGATGATGGCCTCATAAAGATCAACTAACTCGTCACTGACGTTGACCGCATTATGGTAAGCCTTGGTATGCTGCAAGACGGCCTCGGACATGAAGGAGAGGAAATTCGTGGGAGTCTTGGCTGGAGGAATACCGTTGAAAGGATTGCCTTCGATCGGGATGTATGTGAAGCCGGACGACTTGGCGCGATCTTTTGCCTTTTGTACGAGGCCTTGAATTTGTGTAAGAAACTTTCCCTGCAGAGGACCGTATATTGACACAATCTTGTCAATATTGCGATCCTGGGTGTCGTCCGTTGACCAAGCGTTCGGAACGATGTCAAGGGTATTGTAAAAGTTCGCGTTCCACAATTGATACCCGCCTGGGCCGCTCACTTTCGACAGCTTGGAGTAGGCATCGCTGAAAAGCTGTTCGCCCGGTGTGGCTCCCGCGGAAGGAAGAGCGAGGATGTCACCCGCAATATCAGCCACGCCCGGGACCAGATTGTTTGCCTTGGTTGCCAGGGACAGGTAGGGCGAAAGGGCTCCCCCGAGGCTGTGGCCGGTGAAGATGACGCGGAACTCTCCCGGGCTCTTCTTGAGATTGGTGAGATAATTCAAGAGATTTGTGCCAGCTCCCGGGTTCTCGCTCGGCGACGCATGTGTTGCGACTGCCCAAGCACCGAAGGTCGTTCCCCAGGCACCGTAGGGAATGTCGCGGAAAGGAGGATTCTGGACCCCGACAGGCTTATCTGCGGAGCCGGTTGTAAAGTTTTTGGTATAGGCGTTGAAGTCTACCACCTTATCGACTCCAAAATCCTCGAATTCCCAATCCTCAGTCGAAAATACAGTGGTACCAGCAATCGCCACGACGTATGTGTCGAACCTGGTTCCGTCAGGGTACTCGACGTTGGGCGCCTTCATCACCATCCAGCAGTTATTCAAGCCTTCGTACGATTTCGAGGTCTCCGACTTCCATACTCGGGGACCCCAGGTGATATCCCACCCGTACTGGCTCAGGTGCTTCTTGACCATGCGCTTGGCTGCGATGTTCATAGCCTCCTGGAGAATCCATTCGGGGCCCACGATGGAACCTGCTAGGTTGGCAGTCAAAGATTGCAGATGGATCTGCTGGAAAAGATTTAGCGTCGACATGGTGGGATAAAACAGAATTAGGAAGATCTTCGTAGAGGCTGTGATGTTGATGTTGGCTTGGATTGAGACTCTTGTGAGATAGCAGGCAGCTTGAAGGTTGGCGACAGCGGTATTTATCTTTCTAATGTCCACCAATCATTCTCTCAGTGATATACGATCTGCAGCCTTTGGGACAGTCGATGGCACTGAATGGGTCTTTTCCAGTCGTAGCTGAAATTACATGCCAGACTGACTGATGCCGCATCCGGAGAAGCTGAACTCCATGGGCTGACTGCCAGACACTTGCCGTTTGATGGATGAGACGAGACCATAGGAACAAGTGCACTTAAGTGACCAGCCTTAGAGACTTTTGATTTACTTACATTTCAGCTCTTGCATGACAAGCGAGACATCATGCGACACCTGATGTTGGTTTTTAGCGAATCGAGATCAGGTTCAGGTTCTGCACGATAGCCAACAGGCACAGCTGTAGACATGTATGCGTGTAGTGCAGAACAGTACACGCGAGTAATTACCTACTTGACCCTAGAACACACTTTTGAGAATTGGAGATACTTTTGAATCCTGATTCTCCCCTCAAGGGTCCAGCCCACGAGGGGTTTAAGACAGCCGGACGGGAAGGCCCGGTAGTCACGTTCCCGGCGCGTCTTAGAGATCCTGCTTTGGAATGAGGGGCTGGCCACCATGGAATGTCAAGAGATGTGATCCAGAGCAACGGCAAGGTGGGCGAATTGCTGCGAATTGCTACCGAGTCTGATTGGACTTGACACGAGCTGCGGTTCCAAAAAAACATTGATCTTGCTTGTAGCTAAGTTGAGAGACTATTCTCAGCCGCACGTGGAGGATATTCGAACCTTTACTAGCTCGCTGCAAACGGGATTGCCGGACTAGTGCTCGGCAGCGGACTATGCTTAACACAGAATCAGCTTCTGCGAGACGGTTGCATGCATGGCTTCTGAAGCCACAGATCACTGAGTGGCGACCCAGTTTGTGATGTGGCTGTCTGTAACCGTTCACAATTTACAACATCCTTCCTCGGCCGTAGCTCGACTGACCTGTCTATGAGAGATTTGTAATTGTAGCCAGATGCCAACATCCTGTGTTACTTACCTACCTGTAGCCCGGCTAGAGTAAGAATAATCAAGCGATCTCTGCGCATTTGTGACTCGAGAAGTTGTCCATGAATTCGAACGTGACAACCAAGTCGAGAGTTCACTACCTAGGTATCCCGCTGAATCTGGTTGAGAGGGAACAGAGCCGATGAGCGCTGTTGAACTGTTCTGAGGCGCCCCAATCTTGCGTGGCCAGGGATGAGAATGGTCCTGATTTGACTTCACGGCGAAAGCCGAGAGCATCTTGCAAGACGTTCCTCATTATGGTGTGGTCCATGCATTGTCGTCAAGGTCAAACCTAGGTTTCAAAGTAAAGTAAATAGCTTGCAGAGACGACCGGAGCGACTTGGAATGCTCTAGCTCGATTTTTTACGTGTTGTGTCGCTTCGAGATGGCCATGTCACGGCGTGAGGATGGAACATAGGATCAAGTTACTTGGAGCGATACTAGCTTAGGAGAGATCAAGCTATTGGTGTCCGGCCCATAATGAGGCTGTTGAATAAGGTTACGAGGACTCCTAAAGTCTGGACCCTACAGTGCCGTCGGTCCGACGCCAACGGACCGAGTGAATAATGGAGTTCATCCTCGGGTGGGGAGTTATGTGATGATGTAGATACCGGTGGGATGAAAGTCTTAGGGAGCCCAAGAAGGTATGTTCGAATCATAGCGGTCATTATTGAATAATTACAAAGCCGGTGAATCGCCACCATAGCCAATGGAACTACATCCAGCATGCTCTTCTAAACATGCAAGCTTCTTCTCTTACAAGATGAAAGCCGCCAGCATAGACAAACCAGCCAGGGACATCAGCAGGCCCGGCGCAGAGTCGGCAGCTCCGGATCCCGGGACTGTAGTGGGGGTGGCAGTCGGCGACGAACCGTTGGATGACTTGGACGCGTTGTATTGTGCCCAGATGAACTCAACTGCATCGTCGGTGTAGTTGGCAAAGTATGAACCGTGAACAGCGGTGTTGTTGCCGAGATCGCAGTAGATATCTCCCGTGTCGCAGTACGACTCGATCTTGGACGCGTATGCCTCGCACTTGGTCACATTCTCACGGGGGAAGAGCTAGAGACGAACGAGTCAGCAATTCCGACGTTGCACTAGGTAATCGAAGTGGGCGTTTGATTCCGCCACCGCGTTTCGCCAAGGTGGAACTCACTCCGTTGCGCTTGCTCGTGCCCTTGTTCCAACTTGCGCTGACGTTGTGGGTTGGGTCCCCGAAAAGAATCACGGCGATGACTGGAGATGTGTAAGCTTCACAATCATGTCAACAGAAAGTGTCTGGGGGGGCAGCTACTAACCACTTTGGTCGACGACGGATGCGGGAACGGGCGCCGTCTGATTGAACTCAATGTTGAGAGCCTCGCCCTCGTCCTCGTCGACGCTGCCGCACAGAGTATCACCTGTCACTTGCGCACCCTAAAGTTTCATGCAAGTCAGCGGAAGAAAACAAAAGTAAGTTTCCAAGCAGCCGTCCAATTTTCTCGCCCAATTGCCACCCTCCTTTCCGGGGCTCTGGTAAAATGGGAGGTCATGTCATCCCATCAAGCACGATATCGAAATCTTCAGTACGGCGTGAGCTTACCTGAGAGTATCCCAACAGCGCAACCTTGGAGTTCGGGCATCGCGCGTTGTACGAGGTCAACGCGGCGTTCAAAGCCACAGCGCCCGCGGCGACGGAGGTCGAGTAGTTGTCAAACGTCGCCGGGTAGTCGAGCGGCGCGATCTGGGACCCGGGAATGGCTGCGAAAGTGCCATTGGCGACGCTGCCGATTCTGCCGGATCCGGGAGCTTCGTTGCTGCCGCGGGCCACGATGATGTACACGCCGGTCGCGCAGGTGCTCGTTGCGTTTTGCGCCGTGGCGGCGGTGGCGGCGAGAATGCCGGTGAGGGCGGTGCTAGTCTTAACTCTCATTTTGGGTGGCGTCAACTCTCGGAATCTATCGTACTGGAAGAATCAAGAGAGATATTCGGGGATGAAAGACTCGAAGAAGAGGCTTAAAAGGGCAGAGCAAGAGGCGGATGCGGAACGACCGGGGAGAACAAAGGTTCGTTGTCCAACGTCAGCGCCAAAGGAAAGCTCGGGGGAAACGGCGAGGTATTTATCAAGACTTGCATGACGTCGCATACTCACCGAGACCCCTTCGGCCAAGCAAACTAGAACGATATCCGCACTGAGACCTCCTCCCGCAGTTGCGGAAAGCTGTCGATGGGAAACCCACTTGGCCAAAACAGTTCCCCATTGCCGTGCTTCCTTAGTCGCAACAGGCTCGGAGACTCATCAGTGGGCTGGGGAAAAGCTAGCCTCCAAAAGACTAATGCATATCGAGGTGTTCGGATCGTCAGGGGTCATCCCAGACCGCTCTCCGATGACGAATCAGCTGAGTGCCATGGTCAACAGACAGCCATCGATAATCCTCTCTACTTCACACACATGTTCGGCCCGTCGTGAGATAGTACACGTGTAGACCGGGACACTGGCTTCGAAGAGCTGCCGCGCGGGGTCAGGATTGACAGGATGTAGCCTGCTGCACGAGAAGGTGACCGTAAATGGCACATCTGGGTAGGCGAGCTAGGCACATTTTCAATGAGGGGTTCCTCATGAAGACCCAACAAACCTCGGCATTGAATCCAAATGAAGCATCGCGCTCAAATACCCCAGGTCTCCTTCCAGGTCTCTGGTCCCCTTTGGCGCGTATCAAGCTCCATTATTGGATCCGCTTAGGTCCGGGTTACCCGGCGAGGTTGGGGGCTCACCAACTCGGGGTTGGAGGTTGGAGCCTGCGGACTTTTGAGTGCGGGGAAGAGATGCGCTTTGCCCGGTTTGTTGGCTCTCTCCGATTCCTTGCATTGTGACTTTAAATTGTGGACGAACCGAGGGGCGTCAGCTGCTGCGAATTATTGATATTATTTGTACTCGAAGAGTAAGAGTAAATACAATGTTGAACGTTCCCTTCCTTCTCCCACATTACTTACGGCCTGACTTTGGCTATTTACAGTTCAAGAAACTTCGTTCATCTTCCTATGGGGGCGCAGTTTACACAAGAGCCTCGAGACCCAACACTAGCAACTAAGCATTGGTAAACGATGAAACTCTCACAGAGCCACCCAATGCTTTTGTCGCGTAGTTGAAGATACCATATCGATAGCCCATGAAGAACTCCCAGTTATTGTACAGCGTGAATGACGCGCCCACAGTCTCGAAAGTCTGGCCGTCGACGCTGTAGCTGAAGACAGCGTTGCCAGGCCCGCCAGGACGAATATCAGCCACCATTCTGAGGTAGACGTCTCTCGCGTCTCCCAACGGCCTGCGCTCAACAACTGCCCCTGTCGAGTTCGTGGTCCAGTCGGTGTTCATGGTCAGACCTCCAACGGTGACGATGGAATACACATCCCCTTCACGTTCGATGCCGATCCAAGAGGACTTATCGCGCAACGCTGCGAGTCCAACGCGGTCACCGTCGACCATGTTCGCAACGTTGAGGTGAACGGTGCCGGTTCCAATCGGTCCCCGAATTCTGTGGGTCAGGGTGTTGCGAGCCGAGTACAGGTCCGATGTCACAGTGACAGTGCGGAGCGTGATTCCGTTGTTCACCTCGAAACCACTGACATCAGGGTTGTGATTCCATTCCCACTCGGGGCGGAGGGATGTGCCGGCAAACTCATCGGTTCGCAGAGCGCTCGGCACATCCGCCCGGGGAAGCGGGTACTCGTAGTCGCCCCAAGCACCGTTGACGGTCACGAGCGACGGGAAACCATCATCTCCCCAAATGATGGGAGCCAGTACGGGGGAGCGGCCGCCGGGATAGATGTCCGTGAAGCCCATATAGTACCAATCTCCGTTCTGGGTGTCCACGAGACTGCCCTGGTGCGGCGACCCGGCATTCGGAACCGAACTAAGTGTGATTCTGTCCGCGAGAACCTTGACTTCGTAGGGACCCCACGGGCTGGATGACTTAAGCACGAATTGTCCATCAGGCGGTCTGGTCAGGAAGATGTAGTAGTTTCCGTCTCGCTTGTACATCCGCGCACCCTCCAAAGCGCCAATATCGCTGGGAGTCTGGAATACTGTCTCTCGGCGAGTCTCCGTAAGTCCGTCGGCAGAGAGTTGCGCAACAGAAATCGCGGTGTTTCCATAGGCCACGTACGGGGTATCGTCGTCATCGAACAACAAGCCAACATCGTAGTAGCACGTGTCGATGGTGCCTGCTTTAGTCCAGGGCCCAGCAGGGTCAGGTGATGTGTAGACGTAGGTCTTCGAGAACTCTACGCAGGCCACAAAATACCAGAGGCCGTTGCTTGCCCGGTGTCGAAGGGAGGAAGCCCAGATGCCCTTGACATAGGCATTCTTGCCGTCCGCCAAGTCGTATTGCGAGTTCCAATCAAGAACCGGGACCGAGTGGCTAACGTACTCCCAGTTGACCAAGTCTTTGGATCGCAGTACGGGCGCACCGGGGGAGTAGTGCATGGTGGATGCGGTCAAGTAGTAGGTGTCTCCGACGCGGTGAACCTCATTATCGGCGAGGTCTTCCCATATGACCGGGTTGGTGAAGGTCTCGGCCACGATAGGGGCTGCCAAAGCAGCTATCGTGGCAAGTGAGCGCAGCCAGGATCTCATTGTGTGGACGTGTTGATAAAGTAGGCTCAATGTGATGTAGGCCGAGGTGTCCTTGACTGTTGAAATGATCGATTATTCCAAGGGATGCCAGCTCGGTTTTATCACTTTCATCACAAACGCAAACTTGGGTTTTCGGCCATCTCGGATCTTTTTCACTCGGTACGAGGACATCGTGAAATCCAGTTTCGCGTGTCTCATTGGATCGTAAGATCTTGACTGTCGATCTACAGCCAAAGGAGATTGCGCTCCAGCTAGAGTGCTTCATTATATTTCTTCCGGCAGTTGCATGACTGCGGATGATGCGAATGGGTGGCATCAGTTCAGCCGATGACCCCAGATTTCCATCTTGCATTCGGCCGACTGCATGGCTAGCTAAACCCCACAGACTCGGCCGGTGGGATGGCAGACACGCTCCAACCGTTTCCTCTCGGTTCGCAAGATAAGGTTGCATTTTCAGCTCCGAACCGGCAGTATTCATTTTGCAGCGACAATTGATGCTACAGTCACCGTCCCACGGCTGACTGCCGCATCCGCGCCTATCAGCGGTCACATCATGACATGGAAGTCTTCCCCACATCTCGGGAACGTTTTGCGTGCTCGGGAGATCAACGAATTTCGACGTTCGTGTAACCTTTTTGATTGATGCTCTTGGTCGACTAAGGTAGTTTAGCCATTTGACGAACTTTGGATGAATGAAGAAGCCGCGATTTTGAACGGCCTTTTCCGTTCCAACCGCTTGATTTCAAATCAAGACTCTAGATTGCCCTGGTATTATGAGAGTGAGCACTGTGATTTTGTTTTCATTTTCATGTTCATTTTCTTCTTCTTTTTCTGTAGCGTTAGCACTGCATTTCTAATCATGTAGGGTTCTCCCATCAGCTGCCAGATATCGTCAATACAACAATACGAACTTTTCTAAGTATTGATAATGAGTTATATATCTGTCCGACTTAGTTTTCCTTTTGTTCGCTATGAATTGGTTGAAATAAAATACCTAAGAAGTCTGAGAAAGACTGGAGATGAAGATGCTGCATCCATGCTTCTAGCAGTCGATGATATGCTAGCTGCATGACTAAACCACGCAATTTCAAAGACAGAACCAGCGCAAGAGGAGAGTTAGGTAGGTCTAGCTGACAGCTTGAACAATGAGTTGGCCAGGTAATCTTTGAATGTAGGAGGAGCACTTGTTGCGGGAGAGACCTCCACCTTTGTCGGTGGTGGAGCTCCTCCCTATGACGATTATCATCAAGGACAACATGTAGGGTGCGCTATGTCGAGAACAGAATCTCCTGCCCGCTTAACTACAACTATAATTTCATCCGAATTCACGAACAAAATTCCTGCCTATGTTCGTTCATTCTCCATTCAGACAAGCTATCACAGGCAGCAAGATGTCTTTCGGCAAGCTCTACACATATCCCAAAGCGCCTCGATCTACGATGGTGCTCTTCGTTGCAAAGTATAATAAACTCGACATCGAAATTTGCAACGCATTCCCTATCAAAGTATACCCGGAAAAGGGCGGCGTCGGTGAAGAATATCTCTCCAAGTTCCACACTGGGAAAGTTCCCGCGCTGGAAACCGCCGATGGCTTTGCTGTCTACGAAAGCAACGCAGTTGCATGGTTCCGTAAGTGCCAAGTTCATTGGAAGCGATAAGCTCGGTAAAATTAATGATACAAAAGTGGCAAAGCAGGATCCAAACACAAAGCTATGCGGATCTGGATTGAAGGAGGAGACAGCTGTCCTTAGGTGGGCGTCATTCACGAACTATGAGCTCCTGCCGCCCATTATGGCATGGATAGGACCCATCATCGGACGGGCGCCTACCAGTCCTGAGATTCTCAAGACTTGCGAGGAGGCCTGTGAGTTGACTATTCGCGCCATCGAGAAGGAGATCGCAGGGAAGAATTATCTCGTTGGAGACACGTTGACGCTTGCCGACCTATTCGTCATTTCTGGTCTCGCAAGAGGCTACCAATATGTAAGGGCCTGTCGAATTTGAAAATCAAGTTCCCTAAATCGAGTACCCGAAAAGTTACTGACTGTCTCCAAGGTCTTTACCAAGAGTTGGGCTGAGAAGCACCCTGTGGTACATGAGTATTATATGCGCGTCCGTAACGACAAAGATGGAATATTCGATAGCATACTCGGACCTAACGTCATTCGTGACGAGCCTGGTGGTACTTACCCTGACTATGATGGCCTGTAAGCCTGGGAAAGCTTAGTACTTCCACAAATCATAGCAATCTCAAAACGTGAGAGGGAGTTTCAAGAAATTCTGCAAGACTCAATGTCCAGGTACCTTTAAGTCCATATACAATTACATTCGAGATGGAGTACACACTACGCACTCTTACTCAGGCTCATGTCTGCTTTCATTAAATACAGCGACGATCCATTTGCTTGGTGGCCATACATCCCTGGCCAAAAAAGTTGCCTCCATCCATGCTAAGTATCTAGACCCGGCATCATCTACCGCCGCTGTTGAGTCCCACTGGCCTCTCTGATTTACAGGCTCTAGACTTATGGCAGCTAATATGCCAGTAAGAACAACACGAGCAGACATGGAGTAGATGCTTTGTGTTTGGATGTTGAACGAGGCCGAGCTGGTCTGTAGGCTAACAGCCATTAGACGTACTATGCGCCAGCCCAGCAGGCAGGCCTTGTATCCGATCATGGTGATGAATGGATCTTCTATTATTTGGGGGTGAATTCAGATTGTAACTGAAAGCTGATACCGAGGGGTCTAGTGTCGCGAGAAAGAAGCACAAGAATGTTTTCCAGGCTACTAGCAACACGAATAACTGAGACAGTGTGAGCTGGTGTCTTATTTCATCTGACGTCTTCGCATGAGTGATAAAATGAAAAAGAACTCATATACGTACCATCTCTATCTTCGTACACATCTCGATGTTGTTTCACTCGAGGTTTACCAAGTTCCCAGCAAGTTGAAACAGCAGATGGAAGACTATATTCGACGATACCGCTTGTGAGTAATGCCTCTTGATGAGTAAGATTCATAACGGCATAATGCCACACGATCCAAACATTGCTCCATAGACTGGACTCCACAGACTCAGATTCATCCAGAGGACTGCTGAGAGGGCACGCTCCAGGAAGAGACGGCTTGCGCATGATGTCCGACAAGGCGTTCAGAGCTTGCATGATCGAGGTCCGACTAGCTTCTGAGATGATTGACAGGTTGTTCTTCGACTCGCCACAACGCACGTTATTGTACAAGAACGAGCTTGCCAAGGTGAGGTCACGAATCATCATCAAAATTTGCGTTATGAGCATGAGACATGCGAAAGACGAGTGCCAGAGTAATCGCAGAGGCCGGTCTGGCGGGTTGGGATTCATCAAGTACATGAGACTTGCATACAGATCGCCGTGCGCAGGGCGTGGGTCGCCATTGGCTTCATAGTCGTCTTCTTCGTTGAATGACCCTTCTTGAGAAAATATGAGGGCTTGCCAGGTTTCGGCTGTGGCAGCTTGCCATGTGTCGTCTTGACACGGAAGTTCGTATTTCAATTCGAGAGCTGCGAGCAGCGGACGTACGTTACAACAGACTGAGAGTTGAGCATCAAGGTAGTATAGACAGTACACAATCCTGAGACCTCAAACGTTAGCTTTTTACTCTAATTGAGGCCAGGTTTTCCCGCTGGTACCGCGCTGGGAATCGGCCATACCGCTTTCTTGACTCGTTGTACGTGGCAACTCGCCAGGCGTGCTCGGTCACGGTCGTTGAAGAAGCTACCGTAGGTTCGTTCGGGCTGGAGACTTCGTCCACGCCAAGAGCTACTCTGTCTTGAAGCATCTGGTATTGTCGGACAGCATCTACAAGCTTCCTGTGGATCTTGAGAGCCGTTGAGAACCGGCCATCGTCACAGCTGTAGAATGCGTAATATTCGAAGAGCAGGTAGGCTTGCATGACCCACAACTCTCTGAATCTTGCCCGCCGACTCTCGCGAACCTATAAGTGATTCTGCCGCTCAAAATTCGCACAAGCCATTCTTGTATGTTCACTTACGTATACGTCCAGAGACTTCAAGCCCAAAGAGAACAATGTAGCGCTTATCTCCTGGCCTGAACCCTGACATTGATAAATGGCCCCAAGGCAAACAATTGCTTGTATCAACGGCTCCTGAGCCGTATCGAGGTCGAATGTTGGCTTATGTAGAAGCGGGAACGTGGGCTGAAAACGATCGAAGTAAGCTGATACAAATTGAGGAAGTTTGAATAACCATGAAATGCCACGCGATGCGAACACTTGTGAAATCGGCGTTGACTAGGGCATGGACAAAATTAGATTGGAAATATACTGGGCTTGATGAACGGAATACCTACACCTTCGCCATTTGAACGATCGGTTGAGCGGTTCGCATTCGCTGCTTTGTTTGTCTCCTTTGTTGGCTCATCGGCTGGCGCAGCATGACTGGCAAGATGGATTGTCTCACCAGTGCGGTCGGGGTTTGTGTGGTATCTTCTCACATGGCGTTTTCTCAAATCACTAACAGAAGTCAGCTTCAGACTCTATCAAGATTTTGAAGTAGTGTGATGTGCTGAAAATAGTGCCAACCTTCTGGAGAAGCTGACTTCACACTGTGGACATGGGAATGGCCTCAGATTTGAACGCTGATGTACTGAGTCCGTCAGTCTGGCTCGTCTCTAGACATTGCGACCTCTTCATTTAATCACTACCTGATGCCGTATGACGATTTAAGTTCTCCTACTGACTGTCAATTTTTTGCATCGAGGGCTTACGCTCAGCGGGAGAATCACCTGTCGGGTGAATCGACTTGAGCACGCAGGACACTGGAATGGCTTGTCGATTGATTTGGGAGACATTTTTACACTAGGTGTCATGACAATAATGATGTTTCAATGTAAGCACTGTAAATATGTTTCTGGATTCACTCTTGATTGCAAAATGAGGATGTATTCCACAAGGCTTCAATATTCTCTGTCGACGATGTCTCACAGCAGTCGTGCCATAATTGCAGTTCGATGGCATCCCGCGATAATAGAGTCAACGTGATAGGACAATCGTCTTCTCCGCAAAATGTGGGTTCACTATTCTTATCGTTCCCAGTTGCACGCTTGTTTATTGCCCAGTGCGGCCGCATCGGATAAAATGTCCCAAGTCTTGACCTCTAAGGTTCTACCGTAGTAACCTTGTCAAGGCCGATTCCTCGGTTTGAAAGATTCCATGCAGCATGACGAAGTCCGAAAGACTCATGATTCGCTCAGAGCAGGTGAGAAACGAAGAAAGGGGCTGGCTGGAGCACACCGAGGAGGAGCCCCGAACAAGGTCGCAGGTAACGGCCTGATAAGCGTCAATGCCTGACTTGAATGTCTGGGGAAGAGGTGCCCCACTTGGGAGGAGCTCCTCTCACCCACCACCATCTCCTTTACCCCACGAAGATACAATGCAACCTCGTGAAGCATGACAAGCCCGGGCTGGGAGGACTGATTGGAGGACGACTGAGAGGTTGAGGCGACTGGGCTCGCTAGAAGACATGTTGAGAGGACTCGGAGGAGGAACACGCTCGAGGAGCACCCGTAGTCACGCGTGTAGATGAATGATCTACAGTTCGGCTCTAGCATTTGGGACATTGATGGGGGGTGTGAGTCGCTGTGACAGATCATGCAGTAGAAGTGCGCTCATGTGGTACCTCCTTTCACAGAAATGCGACTCTCAATATAATAACAGGCAGGAAAGATCCAGTCCGATTGCTCGAGTAAAGGCCATCAATTATTCAAAAGCCACATACGAAAAAAGTCCTCTTTTACACCCTCGGCTATATCAAGCCCTATAATCAGAGGCTATCCGTTTCAACCAGCTTAGACACTATGTCCCTTCCTCCATTTACACCCGCTCCACCCACCAAGGAGAAGTGTAGGTCTTACCTTCCCAGGACGGATCAATGCATCGACCTCAGTTAGCTGACTGTAACATGAACAGTGGACTATGTCAAACTCGTGAACCTCGACCTGTCCAAGTTTGACACCCAAATCGGCCGACAGGAACTTGCAAAGGATCTTTATGAAGCTGCGACTGGTTATGGCTTTCTCACTTTGAGCAATCATGGCATTTCCGATGATGTTTACGCTCGCCAAATGCAGATAGCAAACGCCATGATGACCCTCCCGGCGGAAGAGAAGGCGCCTTATGAAGGTATCTACAGCTACTTGATCGGTCTAAGATACAAGAGTGTAAGCATTGACATCCGGCGATAGTAACTCCCGAGGAAGATGCACGGGGACTGTATATTGGATACAAACCTGCTGGCCCCCTGGGGCATAAGGGAGGCTTCCCTAAACAGCTGGATCATTACAACATTCTGGTTCACGACCCGCTTGACCGTCCCCATCCTGAGATTATGCGGCCGTATTTGCAGGAGACGCAGGAAGTGATGCAATTCATTCGGACCAACATCCTCAAGAAACTTCTGACTTTGGTGAGGCCCCCCCCCCCCCCCCCCAACTCCCAGACATGGCTCAGCCTGATCATCATGGTACCCAGGTTGCTATGATCTTGGAGGTCCCTGAAGAGGTAATTCAGTCAACCCATGCACCCGGGGGTTCCAAGACCGAGTACATCAGATACATGATGTGCGAGCCGCGATCGAAGGAAGAAAGCGAGAAGTACCGTGATATCTTCCTCTCGGGGCACACTGATTTGGGGACATGGACCTTCCTATTTTCGCAACCCATAGCGGCACTTCAGGTTCTCGACCATAATGATGGGAAGTATCGATGGGTCGAGCACCAGCCTCATGGTTTGGTCGTTAACTTCGGCGATGCCCTTGCTCGACTGACCGGAGGCCTGTTCAAGGCCACTATCCATAGAGTTGTCCGTAAGTGATTGCCTTCTGCAAGGATAGATGAGTTACCCAAGTGATTACTGACTCTTGATGTGCAGAGCCTCCCGAGGATCAACGCCATATTCGTCGCATCGGAGTTATCTACTTCTCACGTCCGGCTGACGAGCGAGAACTCGTGCCCATCGAAGGCTCCCCTCTCCTTCAGCGACTTGGTCGCGATAAGCCTATTGATGAGCAGGTGTTCTGTATGGCGGATTTCCTAGACGCTCGGAAACATGGGTTCAAGCGTTATGAGTATGATCTTGATCGTCCGCGAGACACTCAAAAACACGCCGACTTCTTCGCTGGCGAATATCCTGATCCCGAAGGCCATCAGAGCCTGGGCAAATTCGACAACGTTCCTCGGGAGGTTTATGTACCTTCTCTGAAGGCTAGCTAGCTCTAAAACCAGAACATTGTAGACAGAAGGCTGGAAATGATGAACTCATCATGCTGGATTACCAGATAACGACTGATTGCGTAGTTTCAAGGCCCTTCAGTTGGGTTTACGCCATTGTGGTTCAGCCGCCGGTAACGCTTCCTAGAGAAACCGAGTTACGTAGTGCCCTCAGCATGCTATTTGACTCGAGACAAAATGCTACGAAAGTCTAATACATCTTATGTCGTCTATGGCGTCAATAAATTCATCTCTAATCTGTCTCCATTCCTTCTCCGTTCCATGATCGTTCATAGGGGAATGCAAGCATGAATCATACTGGTAGAAAAGAAACCAACGATGATTGCGTCCAGCTGAAATTGACCACACTCCCATTCATCGTCGACTTGAGAACCGAGTCGATGATAATCCCGAGTTTTTGTGAGCTACTTACCTGGAACGCACAGCGCAGTGTAAGGTATGTTGATTTCACCTTGCGTCGATATTGTGTCGAGATCGACGGGAGGAGCTCCTCCGAGAGGTTGACCCACCCACCCATCTCAACACACGGTCTTGGCTTCCAACCTCGCTCATACAAGTAACAATGGCACTGGAGAAAGATTGAAATGTCCTGCTTATCGTGAGGTCAGCAATATCATTCGGCCAGCTTGGCATTAGCGCATGTTCGAAATGAAAGTCTGGCCGGCCTAGTTCTTTATCTATGGGCGAAATACTTCAGGACTTCCAAGCTTCTTGTCCTTACTCACTCTGGATAATTGGTATTTGACGTGTAGTATCTTTCAAGACTCCCAGGTTTTGCTTAGCCTTGATAATGGAAGCTTCTTGGGAGGGCGGGGCGCCATCCCCTTGTCCCCGAGCCAAGCACGCTTCCCCATGTTCAGGGGGGAGGTGTCTTGGACTAGCAGATAAGCCATTAACGGCAACTTCATCTAGAGGACAGTGCACCAAACGCAGTTTAGACATAAGAAGAGCCCTCCAACCATTTCTTCATATGCTGCATCAGCTTCCAAGTGTGTATAGCTCCCGGCCCTTGACCATCGCCTAGTATTAGCCCTCCATTGTTCCACTTCTCGAGTCACCGCACCGGCTCGAGCAAGACACTTCAGTAACCACGATGGGGTTCTTCTCTTCATTGAGGGAGCACTTCAAGGGTGCTACTACTCCATTGGAGAGGAAGCTTGTTCTCAAGTTGGACTTCTTTATTCTCACTTTCTGCTGTCTGGGTATGTTCATGCTCGTCAACGTACATGGTCTAATTGCCGTTGCTAACATTGAACAGCATATTTCATGTAGGTCAATGGCTCGACAAGATTGATAGCAGAGGTGCTGACGAATGTGACTTGCATCAGGAATTATCTCGACAGAGCCAGCATAACCCAAGCATATGTTTCTGGGATGAGAGAGGACTTGGGCTTCAAGGGTGCCCAACTGACTGTCGTAACTACTCTTTAAGTCAACATACCCACTTCCTGGCACCCCCCTGTTTCTGGCACCCACAAAAACGCGAAAATCCACCACAACCCAATGCCCACCCCCAACCTCCTTTTATCACAACATTTTCAATTCGCGTCCAAATGGGCTCATCTTTTGCACATGTCTTCTTCTATATATAATGCCTCAATATACCGAAGATCAGCTTCGTCAGGCTCTCGAGGA